ACAGCTTTTCTTGCCGGTCCTGAGACCTAAGTGGGGCCTGGACCTTCCCTGTCCTCAAGCCAGCCCAATTAGCAGTGCCCTTACACCGGCTGCTGGGCCTGACTTCAGCCCTTCATTGCATCCCTGCCAGGCGTCCACCTCACAGGACAACTTTAAATGATAATGAAGTCAAACTTCTTGCTTAAATAGGGAGGGCAGTTTAAGTGGCGGTGGGGAGAGAATTGCTATTTTGAACTATAAGCCAGCATTAACATTTTACGTCTTAGAGAATAGGAGAAGTAGTTTGACTTCTGTCTTCATCTACTTGGGCTGCTATAACAAAATGCCCTTTATAGGCTGGATGGGTTGGTGGCTTATAAACAATATATCTTCATTTCTCACAGGCTGGAGGCTGGAAGTCCAAGATCAAGGCACCAGCAGATTTAGTGTCTGGCGATGACCCATTTCCTGTTCATAAGTATCTTTTCACAGTGTCCTCACATGGTAGAAGGAGCAAGGGAGCTCTCTGCAGTTGTGTTGTGTTTTGTTTTGTTTTTTAATAAGGGCACTAATCCCATTCATTAGGGCTTCACCCTCATCATCTAATCATTTCCCAATGGCCTTACCTCCTGCTACGATCAGTTGGGGCCTTAGGTTTCAAAATAGGAATTTTCAGGGACACATTCAGTCTGTGGTAGCCTATTTACTCTTATCCCACCTTTTGAAATTGAGATGTAAATTACAGAGAGGGAGATGGGAAAAGCAGGCGAAAATTAAACATGGGGTTGAGGTGAGCTTACCTCATCAGTACTGTGAACTAGTAAGGGAACTGTTATCAGCTTCATTTTACAGATGAAAAACACAAACTTTAGAAGAAGGATAAATAACATGCTCAAGCCAATCTGTGGCAAAATCAGATGTTGTCCCACAAGTTCAAGTACAGGGCTCTTTTTCTTCTCATTCATATCTTCCTAAGCCCTGCTGTGGGAATACTGTTTTGAGACCTCTGTCTTAAGCTTCATAACATTCCTACGGAATAAGTGTTCTGATAAGTAAGAACCAGCACAATTTGCATTTTAGGTACCAAAGGCCTGAAACCCAGTGAGGGGAGGAGCTTCAGCTTAAAACAAAGGACATTGTTAACCTTCCAACAATAGGACAGAACATTGTCCCATCTACTCCCCTCAACAGCCATAAATGCATAATTATGTTTTATTACAGAATAGTTTTCAGTAGCATTTTTTCCCAATGACACATCAATGGTTCAATCACATGGCAATAGATGCAGTGCAATCACATGGCAATAGAGGCAGTGTTATTGACCAGCAGCAATCATTGCACAGCCATGGAAAAGAAGGCGCTTTGTGCTTACCTCGCTGGTGCATAGTAGCTCAACAGAGAGAGGAGGTAGGATCCCTGCACCCCACCCTCTGCATCTATCCAGGCAATCCACTGAGATCAGAGGCTGCGTGCAACACCAGTGTGGCTGTCAGCTACTGAATGAAGACAGGCTCGTCGTCAGCCCACTCACCCTTCACCTGGGCCTCAGCGACTGAGACCCCTTCAGCCCTCAGGAGGGCGGAAGGCAGGCATTAGTGTCTGTTAGTATCTCCCCTAAGAGGCCAGATGAAGCAAAATCTGAGACTACATAAAGGGAGGGATATGTTGACTGCAAGCAGACATCGTTTCTGTTTCTCTGTCTTGAAAACATCAATGTCACAGCCAGTGCTCAGCCTCCATGGGACTGAGGAGGCAGTCTGTGGAGCAGGCTGCCTGGATTTCTATCTGGGCTCTGTGTGGCCCTATGCACATTATTTGAGCCTCTACACCTCAGTTTTAACATCCATAATATGGGAATAATACCTAGCAGCGCCACTACAAAGGGTTATTGTCAGGGTTAAATGAGTTGATGTATGTGGAGCTCTTGGAGAACCTAAGAGTAAGTATAAAATCAGTGTTTTCTTTTCCTGTCTGCAGCACGTCATAGCCTTGGAAATGCTCTAAGCCACTTAGGTCACTTAAAACAAAGCAGCTGTTAAAGTCTCTTCCAGCTCTAGGCTTCCCTGATTCTCTGTGCAATCTAGAATACTTCTCCCAAGTGTGGTCCACAGACAGGGAGCTTGTTAGAAATGCAAATTTGCAGGTTCTTCCCTGGAATTACTAAATCAGTATCTTGGGGTGGGCCCAGAATTCTGTGATTTAACATGTTCTCCAGGTGATGTTTAAAGTCGAGGAAGGACTGTCTCAGGATCTTCTCTTTCCTGTGAACCTTCAATCCAAGTGCTCACTTCCAGGAACCCCAGTGATGGAGCCGCAGTGGTCACGGTGATGGCAGGGACCAAATGCCTTCACTGACCCCTTTGACATAGGGACTAGCTGGAAGCAGAGCATTGGCAGGGGTTGTTGGGGACCTCAGCACAATCAGCTCACTTAGTTAAGAAAAGAGTGATTCTTAGAATGAGGTGAGTCCTGGCTGGAGCCACTCCAGAGGTTTGAAATGGGCTAAGTTTTAGCCTGTTTTTATATTATTTGACCTTAGATCAGATTTCTACCTACTGTCCCATATTTGCAGTCTAGATGAGGCTGTAAACTAGAGTTTGTACCTTTGTGATTCAGGACCTTGAACAATGGCTTCCAACTGCATTTTTTTTTTTAAATTTGAATTCATTGAAGATGACAAAGGAAAGTCTGAGAGCTCATTCTTTGAAATAAAGAGACTATTAGGGAATGAAAATTCATCAACAAATGTTTTCCAAGTTTTTTCAAAATTCAGGACATTACAATGAGCAAGCACTGCGGATATCTGAAGAGGAAAAGGGACTAAGTGGTAGACTTGAGCATGTACCTGTCACTCTCTCCCAGACCCATGTCCCTGGTCATCTACTCCTCTCCAGGATGCGTCCCCCTGTAGGATCAACCAAAACAAAATGCAGTATTTCTAAAATGAACCTCTCTGATCTATAGGGCTTAATTCTTTTTAGTAATGCTTTGACCATGGTGAAACAATTATTTTGTCAGTCTTTCTTCCCATGCTGAAAACTTTGAGGTACCAGTCAACTCATGGTCTTCCGACGCATTACAAAGGCTCCTGGATCTGCTTTGTAGAGTCACTCTATTTTAGTGACACTATCCATTACAGCTTCTTATCATCTTGTGGCCTGAAGGCTTCAGTGACCTCTGGGCAGTATCCGTGGTGGGCCAGCCTGTTCCTCCTCTGCAGTTCCCCCAAGGCCACATTGCCACAGCAACACTTCTCAAAGGCTTTTTTCTTACCATGTTGTTTATGCCTTTGGCAAAGAAACTACTCTGCCTTTATTTTGTCTATTCTATCCAATCCAAATATCTCTACCCAGCCTCCAGGCTCTTCACTAACTCTGCTTCCCACATTTCAAGAGAATTCTCCATGTGCTTTTCAATTCCAGGAAATCAATGTGGTGTACTCATCACTCCACTTCTTCGCATCCTCTCCACTCTCCCAACAAGCCACTTCACCCATTGCACATTGTCCGCCCTCCCTCCATTTGCCCTCAGCTCTTATTAAACATTCACTCCAGGTCCTGTCTAACTTCAGAGGGACTGCTACTGCCATATTCACACTCTTACGTACACACGTAGCTTTGCAAATACCCCCAAGGATTTTTATATGTAGATTCTTTTCTAGGTAGTTTACTACTGAAGACCAGTAGCAGCGGAGAAATTTCCATTTCCTTTGTTAATGCTACACTTGGGGACCAGCCCAGAGTGCAAAGCTGATGGAATGTTCAGCATGAAATGGGTGCTCATGACATGCTATTCTCTGATTACAAAAAGGTGGCAGGATCTCCCGAAGATGCCACCCAGGGTGTCTTCAAAACAGCAGTTAGGATCCTCCTAAGTGAAGTATATTGTAGGGAGTTCTAATGAGAGCCAATTAGAAACCCTTCTGTTTGCATATGTTTCCCGTGAATAGCAAAAGCTAGTATGTGAAAAAAACAGGCAAACTGTGGCTTTTTGGATGGTGGCACACTTCTCCGCTGCGAGTGCTTGCCTGGTTTGCATTACGATTTCCTTCCTTGCTGGAAAACTACATAGACTTTCTCCCTTTCTTTGGAAGAAGTGGGACCTGTTGGAAATGTGAGGCTCCGGGATTCAAATGCAGTGGGCTTGGCTGTGTTGCTCTGTAGTGCATTTCTTGACAAGTTCTGAAAAGACTATTGAATGCTGGCCTGTGCTTTTTTTCTGCAGCATTTGGATGTGTTTCAGCTGCAGTGTTTGGCTGGATAGAGTAATCGAAATAGAATTTTTTTCTTCCTCAGCAATCTTATGTTACAATTTTATCTTTTACAGTTAAAATGAAATATTTTTCTACCATGCATGTACTTTTAAGTGCAATAGAATCATAGCTCTTTCACAAGCAAACAACCTCTCTCTTAAAATTACATGTAAACAGGTGAAAATATAAACTGGTGCCATCCTCATAACAAAATTGTAGGCATTTGGTGAATTTGCTAGAGGATACCAAGTTACACTGAAGATTTATTTTAATTAAATTCAGGCATTTTGGAGGGACTTTTACTTAGTAGGAAAAAGGTTTCCCTCTTTTATTTCACATGATTAAAACACTATATCTAGTCATCTTTGCAGTGTCACTAGCTTTGTGCATGTGTGGTGGGCTGGGGTGTCTGAGGCTCTGTGCAACAGGCTATTGTTCTCTGTAATCTTCAAAGGGCGGCTGGCCTTTGAATCTGCTCCGTATCTAGAATTCTAGCTTTAATTATCAGATTAGCCTGCATTTTTTTTTCCCTTTGTGATTAAGGAGAGGAGAAGCTGAAATGTGTTTATTATTCTGCAAAATACTTGAGATGGTAGGAACCCAGATGTTTAATTTTATTCTGGAAATGAGAGCTGGTCAAATTAATAGACTTCTTCAAACCCAGGGAAGGAAATTAAAAAATCAGGAGGACAGAGTCAGTGAGTGACAAGACATAACTGCTGTTCATGTGGTGCACTCTGCTAAGCAACACTGGAATCGTGCCTTTCAGGGTCCCTGCAAGTCATGAACAAAACGAGAAAGATTATGGAACAGGGAGGGGCCACCTTCACCAACGCCTTTGTGACCACGCCCATGTGCTGCCCCTCCCGATCCTCCATGCTCACCGGGAAGTACGTGCACAACCACAACGTCTACACCAACAACGAGAACTGCTCCTCCCCCTCGTGGCAGGCGATGCACGAACCTCGGACTTTTGCTGTATACCTTAACAACACTGGCTACAGAACAGGTAAAGGGTGACCTTTCTGGCCCGTGACCGTGTGATAAACAACTTAGACACAGGAAAGTGCAGTGTGTGATGAAATATAGGAAGTTCCAGTCAATTCCTTGATGAAACTGTTCAGGCTGTTCTCGTCTGTATCAATATCCTTCCCATCCCTCACTTTTTCACTCTGAAGGATGTACCAAGGAGAGGTGCCTCAGAGAAGAGTCAGAATGATTCTCTGTGGACATGTTATGAAAGTGTTTTACCCATCAGGGCACCTGGCACTTGGAATTCTCCAGAAGAACCTCCAACAGATAAGTTTGCACCCCATTTGCCTGCTTACCTCAATCTCCCAAGTCTCAAGGGATCCTGGTACAGCTTGAAGCTTGTCTTAGATGTTGGTAAATTTCTGCTGATCGTTTCAGTAAGAAATCAACTACTTAGCCCCTCCCCCAGTGTCTGGGATATAGATGATCATAATCACTTACTGAATTAATAAATCACTGAATGAATAAACCAATGATGTGTACCTTATTGATGCATTTATGTAGTCATTCAGAATTTAATAAGATTTGGAGTTTTTTTAAGCTTAAGCTGTGGCTCTTTGAGGTTTCCAATGTTCACCTCCATCTTCCAAGGAAGGAAGGCAATTGCTATACTTCCTCTCATTGTTTAACCTCCATAAGGCAAGAGGAAGGTTTGGGTTAGTTGGTCTGAAAATTGGGCACCTCTTTCAGGAGAGGTCATGAACATCATGCCAGTCTTTCTAAGAAAAAAGCAAGACTACGTCTAATAAGGTTGCTCCCCCGACCCCCTGCCCCCTGCCCTCTGCCATAACGTGTATTCTCCGAGCATTTAGATGCTGTCGGCATTTTTTCATGAAAAGAAACAAGGATATTTCTAGAGGGGCTACAGTACAAACAGATTTTTCAGAACCAGAACAGATTTTTAACTGGATTTATTCATAAGAACTAATGATGTTATCATTAAAGCTTATTGGAAATGATTTTACAGATTCTCTAGTCTAAAGATTTAAAAGTAAAGGATTTCAGGTAAATGTATTCTGTTAAATCTCGTCAAAAAATGCAATCAATCTTTCCCACCGATCTCAGGAAACATGTGGCCATTTGCTTCTCTGCAGAGCACCCCAAGGGCACTTAATACTTGTTATTTATAGATGAAAATATTCATTGTGAATACGACAGCATTGTCATTCACAAATATTTCAAGATAGCCACTCATAGAGGAAGATCCTCCCATGAATCCCATGGGTGGTTGCTTATGCTTAAGAAAGAAACTAGGTTACTCAGAGTGCCTCATCCTGAGTGTGTTTTCTCACGTAAGTGATTTAAATTTATAGCACCTTTCATCTGAGAGCTCTAAAGCAATTTGCAAATCCATCAAACATCCTTGTAGGTTTACAGACAGCAAATGCATTTGGTTCTGTTTCGTAACTGAGGTAGGGATTTCAAAAACTGTGTGACCTGCTCAGAAGCAAAATCAACGATGATCCCCTAATGCCTGGTTCCTGATTCTTACCACCCAACTTTCTTTTGTTCCTGGAAAATGTTGTGTGAGATCAGGACCTTTCAACTCCTGGGCTCCCTATAATTTTATCCCCAGCAGAGGGGGATTGAGGCTGTTACTGTATCCAGAGCGATACGGGATGATGTCGGTGATAAGCACAGATGCGGGATGGCTCAGAGCACCCTGCCAGGCCTGGGAGTGCTCAGCCAGGGTTTGCTAATCTGTTTCAGGGCTAATCCAAGAAAGGGGGAAAAGAAGATGTGAATAAATTCTAGAGACACGGTATACAGCAATGTGACTACAGTTGACAAGATTGTATCATGTACTTGATATTTGCTAAGAGGGTAGATCTTTAGTGTTCTCCCCACAGCAGGGGGAGGGAAAAGAAAATGGTAACAGTAAAGTGATGGATAGATTGAGTGGCTTGGTGATGGTAAATATTTCACAATGTTTATGTATATTGGGCCATCAGTTTGTGTACCTTAAATATAGACAATTTGTGATTATCCTTTATAGCTCATTAAAGCTGAGGTGGAAAGAAGGGGGGAAACGAAAGAAATTAGATACCCTATACTGGACATTTTAGCGAAATTTTCTCACCTAATTCTCACAGAAACCTTGAAAAAAAGGATTTGTCCACGTTACTAATGAAGAAATAATTACTCGAGAGAGTTTGCTGTCTGAGAACACAGGCTAGTCAGTCACAGAATGAATCCAGCACATTTGATTCCAAAGTCTTTCCTCTTCCCATTGTCTTATTTCTTTGCATGTGTATCTATCATGCCTCACTCCAAAGTGCCTTACAGAGACACATGAAACATAATAGGATGCAGCACAGTAAGGACCTGGGCAAATGGAAATGAAGAGAAATAGTTAAAGTCAAGGCAAATGTTGGTATACAACCCGCATGCCATGGAGTTACAAAGAAAGGCTGTGTATTTAAAAACAAGCTTCCTGTTGCGAAAAGCAAAAATGGAAACACCATCCATTACACAAAGTACCCTGGGTCACAAAGATATAAACAACTCAGTTGCTTCTAAGAAGCATGATGTATTCTGATACTTGTTTTAATCATGCTATGCTATATCCACCCTACAAAGGATTGCAAGAGCTTGAATAAAACTCAGGCATAATTTAGTTCGATTCCCTTATTTTCAGATGAGCAAACAGGCCCACAAGATTAAGGTGGCTTGCTGAAGTGATGTTCTGATGGGAAAACCGGGCATTAGGGCTCTTCCCAGTGTGCTACCCTAACTTCATGGTTAGGTCTCGGGTGAGGCTGCACATCATAAGGCTTTGCCCATGACAAGTGTCTGACCGTTTATTAGTTCAGGTGTCTTATCATGGGAGAGGAGATTTATTCTTGGAAACCAAGGTAGATTCTGAAGCCAACCTTCTCCCCCGGGGTCTAGACACTTAGGTAGTAGTGGGATTTATAGTGAGTCATCCTATGAAATAAAAGGGATTTTTTAAAGGGTAACAAGGACTTACCCAAATACTTAGTGCAGAAAATAAATTCTGATGTGCTCGTTAGTAAATCAGAAAAATTATAAAGGGAAGACTAACATGGCAATGATACCAATCTGTAGAATTTAAATTTATCTTTGATGGGGACATATTGAAGTGTCTGAGACAATTGAGAAGTAAGGATGTCTTTCTACCAATAATTATTGATCTAACCAGGGACAGTGACACAGTTGAAAATAGACAAATAAGCATATCAAGATGACAGTCATCTTGGGAAATTAAGAGACGTGGTGAGTAGGTATTAAATCAGCGTAATTATTTATGATCCTCTAGACTAGTCAGAAAAGAGTCACTTATATTTTATTCTTTTCTTAATAATGAATATATTATTTGGAGCATTTAGCTGAGAACCTAAGAAAAATAGTGAAGGAAACTGAAATATGTATTATACATAAATATCCATTGAGAGAAAAGCACAAGGCAGCAATCAGATTTATGAAGAACAGCTCAGAGAAGACAAATTACTGAGAGACTTATTTTGGGAGGAGTCCAGAATACATGGATTTAAATGAATCGAATTGATCCAATATTATATTTACTGTTGTATGACATGATTTTTCTTTTTCAGAACTGAGGCATATTTTTGGACTGGCTGTAACCTAAATTTTTCTAAACTTACTCATGGAAAATATGAGTCCACAACAGCTTAAATGTTCAAGAAGGGGAAAATACAGTAACATGTCTATTGCATTTTATGCTCTGACAAGTGAACTGGGAATGACATTGGATTATCTATCATAAAGATGAATATCCTGCCTGACTTTATGCTCAGAATGTTTTTAGTTTAAATTTCTTGTGAGGGTATAGACATTCATGTGAAACCTGGCATAGTTTTAAGGGGAAGGCAATAATCCACGTTTCAGAGGTAACACCGAGTGTTAGCAAAAACCCTGAACAAAAACTGAGGACACCTGGAGCCACGTCCTAGCTCTGCCTTTAGTTCACTTTGAGAACTTGTAGAGAGGCCAGTTTTCCAACAGATAAAATGCAGAGATTGGACTGGAATGATTCTGAAGTTTCCTGCCCAAAATTATACTGTAATTTTATTATAACCACTGTAATTGTTATATTGAGTCATGTAAAAATGTTCGTGTTCAAATTATAATCAGAGCACATGATACATGAAATCGCATATGAATTAAATTTTAGTCTGCCTAATTGTACTATACATATCACTGGAATGGAAGGGGCAATATTTAACAGAGCGCTACGATAAATCTTATTGTAGATAATTCTTTTGTAGCAAAACAATTCGACAAATTAGTCAATTTTCTAATTTCATGTCTTTTTATATTATAAAATTTATGTTACTTATGACAAGTATATTCTCTAACGTGGGATTTTTTTTAAATGTAAAGTTCACTGAAAGTAAGACAAACTAGTATTCTTATTTTTATGAGTTACAGTATTATAGATTTTTGTGTTAGGTACATAAACATAGATATTTATTGAACAACGGCATGCTTAGAACTACCCTAGACACTGGGTATGAAGGGATATAAAATAAGATCCCTGTCTTCATTAGACTTAATAATCAAACTGAGGAAACCAAAATCATATATATAAGTTGACATAAGAGGAAATCATAATTTTTAATTTGTTTAAAATTACGTATATTTTTAGTTAAAACCAGTGAAATCCTGTAACCCAAATCTATCAATTACAAAGAGTAAGAGCTCAGTTAGTATATCATTTGCTATACTAAATAAGATTTAATTTCTCCACAGCATCAGAAATCTTTTGTGTCGTTATTATTGCTGACTTAAAATAAACGCCTTGACTTTAGATAGTTCAAGGAAATTTTTCTATGTATTATGGCACAGAGAGTGCTGGAGAGAGTAGCATGACCTAAAGTCAAAAATAATTATAATCAGGTCTTTGTGATCTTTCTCCTGACACTTCACCCCCACCATCACCTTCTTCAACAGCTGTGAATGGGCGTGTTCAGTGGCCTCCTGGAGAAGAAAATGACACGGTGGCATGTTAGTGATATACTCAGATAGTACAGTACAGAGATAAGTTGAATGACCAGTATCAAAGGAGAGAATGTCTTCAAACTACATGTAATATAATGGCAACATGGGCAAGAAAGTGAAATTCACCTTAGGGAAGGAGAAAGAGATTTAATACATCTGGAGGAAAACAATTAGAAGCCCAGATAATCAATTGCAGAGCGCCGCTAGGAAGCGTAATGTTGAAAGAGGCCAGGGTGATTATAGATGAGTCTCAATGTCGGGAGGCAACAAGAAAGGCCAGAGTCACTTGAAGCTGCCAGCACTGGGGTGTTGCTTCATGACGCATGAGGTCCCAGTCTCTCTCTCAGAACAAGTGTGATGGGTGAGGGCACATCTGGAAAACTGAGTACATTCTTTACACTCCATTAACACAAAGACTCCGAAAACCTGGAGGGAGTTCTAATGTGAATAACAAGCACTGCAAAGAGACTCGCAGGAATAGTTTATAAAGGGAGGATGAAAAGGAAGGGAAGAGCCACGGAAATGGGTAGAAAACAGTACAAAATAACCTCAGAGGGAAGGAAGGGAGGGCTTGGCATGGCTGCCCTGAGAGGAAAAAACAAACAAACAAAAATCTGAAAAAATAAAAAATAAAACGAAGAGTAGCAGGAAAACTTTTAAAACTAATCAAGCGGGGAAATGGAAGCCAAATGCGAGAGAATTTGTTGTCGCAAAATAAGTCAGATCAGGAAAGAGAAATACTGTAACCTCTCAAGAAAGGTTTGCAAATGCACAAGTGCAGAGCTCTAGAATGACAGGTCCTTGCCTTGCAGAATGGTAAATTATTTATAATCAGAACACAGACTTCAAAGGATAAAGAGAATGGTGATGCTAATAACAATAGCAGTAGAAGAACTTAATAAGCCCTTGTTGTGTGCCAGGTACTGTGTTAAGCACTTTATGTATTAGCTCATTTAATCCTGACAACACTCCTACCATAGTTGTTGTTGTTGTTATTACTATTATTGTTATTACCATCTTCATGGTTTTACGAAAAGGAATCAGAGGTAGAGAAAATTAAGTAACTTGCCTGTGGACACATAGCTAAACAAGTAACAAGCCAGGATTGGAAACTAGGCGGGTTGGTTTTTACCTCAACCCTGTGCTGTTTTACTTTTTGAAAACAAAAGAAGAGAAAAACGGAATAAACCCCCAGGGATGAGGCGCAGGCCAGAGGAAGAGCTGGGTCTGATGTCATTAAGTGGAAGGTTCCTGGAAACAGTCCCCTTCTGGAAAAAAACACAGCTGGGGTGTGGTGTTGGTCAGTTGCCTGCAAATCCAAGTCGTGTTGCGTTTTGTCGGAAAAGGAAACTCATCGTGTGGTTTTGTGTGAAAAGGTGGTTAGTCTCTGAAGACAAGAACCCCTCATTAGAAGAATTCCCGCTGCACAGCGTCAGCTCAGAGGGAAATCCTGAGTCATATCTGGCATGAGAGCCTCTGACACTTTGTCCTATACCCAGCGATCTGCTCGGGGGCCTTGGCAGAGTCCTCAGGCAGGGGCACTTGGCTAAGGGACAGCTTGATGCATTCACTCATTCACAGATTCAACAGATAAACATTCATTCAATAAATTAGTACACATTGCCTGGAGTCAACTCTTCAAAAAAAAAATCTGAGAAATACCAACTTCAACACTGAAGTTAAATTCTGTGAAAATATTTAGACCAAATCGAATGTTAAGATTATAATCCAGGTGAAAACACAAAATTTAATAAGTCTAGAACCTGTAGAAGCCTAGAATACATGGGGGTACATGGACCCCAGTTCAAGAAACAAAATTTATGGAATCCCTATACTGTGTGCAAGGTGGAGTATGGAGATGGGGCAAAGGCAGTGTTTGCCCTCAAAAACCTTACAGTCTAAGAAGGATCAGGCTAACATATGAACATGAGTCCACCACTAGAAAGAACGGGAGGATGTCATTAAAGCCACAGGCACAAATTTGTTACGGGACAACAGAGAGTGGACTGTCACGTACTCTGGCCTTGATATGGAGGGAGGGAGATGAAGACAGTAGCACAGTCATAGGTAGAAAGGTGGGAACCAGACCTGGAGAGAAGGAGAGAAAAGGAGAAATGCAAGATGGGCTTGGAGAGGGAGTGATTTTGTCCCAACCCCAGGAAGGCCGTCGGTAGCATTCTACTGAATTAAACTGCACATGACAAGCATCCGTCTAGATTGTGAGAAGAGGGTGATGTGACCAGAGCTGGTCTTCAGAAAGGTGGCAAGGTTTGAGAGTTACCACCCCGATATCGCAGAACCTACAGGCGCTGGCGACTGCCAGGTGAGGAGCGGGTGGAAATCAGGGAAGGCTCTGGGTTGCCAAGCCTGGTTACCCAGCGGGCGATTATGCCACGCAGAGAATTAAAGGATAGCCGAGAAGTAAATTTGGAAGGGAATGTGATTCTTTCCATTTGGATGACTGCATTAAGGGGCAAGTAAAACATTCAGATGGAGATATTCTATGAGTAGTTGTATATCAAAGATGAAAGCAAGGTAAATTGCTATCCCTTGAAGACACGGAAATGAGGTACAGTGGATATGTTTAAGGTTCAGAAATGTGCACAGAATACCAGTGAAGTGCCTGGATTCCAGGGTCCATTGTCACCATCCCAAGCCAGTCATCTAGGAGCTCCCTTTCCTTACCTAAGTAAGTGGAGGCACCTGTAAAACCTGCTTAATGAAGCCAAGAAGTGGCTTTGACCTGGAAGGCAGAGGACATGGTCTCTCCCAAAAGGAAGCCTTCTAAAAATCACAAAAATTAAAACTTGCCTTCAGGTGTGGATGTATGTATAGATATAGGTGTGTGTGTACTCACACACATATACCTACACGCATATGTTTCCCTATGCATACAGACTTAAAATATAATGTTCTCTATAGTTGAGGGGAAGGCTGTGTATGTGTCTAATAGGGTGATCAAACATTTAGGTTTACCCTGAACAGTGCTTGTTTATACCTGTTTTCCTGGTGTAACTATAATAGTTACAAATGGCACCCTCTTTCTCTCTCAGAATTCTACCAACAATACTGTTATGGCTACCTTTGGAGAGTTACAAATTATTCGACTTTAAGATCGAACCCATTGTGTCCCTAACACCCAAATCCGCCTCACTCTCCTGTGGCCCGTCTCCGATCCTTTTCTTTGGCGGAGGACCGTATTCATGGTTTGCCTCTCTGAAAGGGTCAGTAAGCCTGTCACACGCTGTCCTTCCTTGGATGTGACATGCCGAAGTTACAAACGTGAAGTCCTTTCAGTGGCCTTTTCCGTGAGAAGTGGACTAGTTATGGCGCATAAACGTCAATTATACTATTATTCTATGAAAATTAGCCATCTGCAAAGCAGCGCTGTGTTGCCAGAATTTTTTATTATGAGGAGTTAGCCATACACATTTGTAAAATATACGTAATATAAACACAGATGATGTGAAGTACGGGACACATAAAAGCAATGACCCTGTCCCATAAAAACGAAGTTTATGCCATGGTCCCTTGGTTTAGAAAATGTGTACTCTCCGGCTCTGCAAAAAGAAAGACCAGCTCTTGTGTTTCTGTAATTCACAACTCTCCAACAGTAAGTCAAAAAACGTCATTTATCACAGAGACGGAACTTTGACTTCTCCAATGTGTGCGTGCCCACGAGCAGCAGCCCAGTCTCACGCTGGTTCCTGCTCTGATTGTCACATCGACTGACAAAAGGGCGCATCCTCCCAGTCTCCCAGCAAAACCCCAACAAGAGCTGCACCCAGAGTACCATGATCATTATGGTGATTTTGTTGAATTAGAATCCAGGTGCTTGGGGGCTACTTGCATTTATTCAAGAGGAAAATGTGTGTATGTCACTTTGCCAAAGGATTGGAATATTACACTAACCTTATTTTGGCATCTCCTATTACCTGGGTTAACTTTTGTTCTACTGCCTCTTTTTCAAACCATCATTTCATATTAATGCACTTATGTACGTATTTATGATTAATCATTGCATATGAGAAAAATAATGCCTTTTTCCTATTGCAGCCTTTTTTGGAAAATACCTCAATGAATATAATGGCAGCTACATCCCTCCTGGGTGGCGAGAATGGCTTGGATTAATCAAGAATTCTCGTTTCTATAATTACACTGTTTGTCGCAATGGCATCAAAGAAAAGCATGGATTTGATTATGCAAAGGTAATTTTCAGGCACTTTTTACGCTGCATCAATTTACTTTGTGCATAATGGAGAACAGCCATTTTCAGCAAATTAACCTATCCACAAGATTGGCTTTCTACGTTCTCACAATGTTAGAATGAGAAATTTTAAGGTAATTTTAAACTCCAGGCAAGAAAAGACTCTCAAGGAACACTGACTTTACATAGTGATTTTTTTCCCTCATCAGAACACAAGGCAATCAGTCTTTGATGAAAGTATCAAGAAAATCATAGATGCCTCCACTCTGTCTTGTGATAATTTTTGGTTTCCCGCCCACACCCAGAGGACTTATCCACATAATCAAATGTTCATCTTGGATTGTTTTGCTTTTCATTGGGATGCAAGTCAATCTTGTCCTCGGATTTAGATATAAAAATAAGAGCAGGCAAGTGGAATAATCAAAGGTTGGGAAGCCACACTCCTCCCTTTTGCTACTGTCTGACCAAGCTGAGGCATGAGACGAGGGCACCTGCCCACGGCAGCGGTTGTCCACAAGCGTCTCTCAAGCTGTCAGTCCCAAAATCTCCAAGTCAGCTCCTAGAAACTGGAATTGATGCGCCCCACAGTTCTCTGGCAAATGGTTCCTAAATTAGACTTTTAAACTCCCAAGGGTTCTGTGATTGCCAACGTAAATAAAACAATTTTCTGATCACAGGAGTGAAGGGGAAACTATCTTTGAATTTAGCATGCTAATTACCCTGGAATATCCTCTTCCCTTCCAGCCACACTCAGCTCTTCCTCATTTACCTAAAAGAAGCTGAGAATCTGCTCTAACGCACATCACTGCAAAAAGAGCCACTGGTAGAAATGAGAAAGAGGGAACCTCATTTAATTTGGGCACATTTACTGTCTTTATGCTTGGCCTGATTTGAGCACAAGGGACTTGGTGGGAGATAAGGTGTAAGTCTCTTCTTTCACACCCTTAGAAAACAATGAATGCAAATGAATTCACAAACACTGCTAATAGGTTTCCAGACTCATCAAAGTTGAGAGCTGGTTGGGACCTTGGAGGCAGATTTGAGCTGCATCCTACAAAGTGCACTGATTGTCATCACTATCATTTTTTATCTGTGGGGATGCTTTTCATGCTCCTTGTTCAAGCTATTAACCTTTCTTTCCCTGTTGTCCTAAGGAGAGCAAAGTAATCAAGATTCCCTCCTAAGACTAAATCAGCGTAACTTGCCCATTACCACAGCTGATTAAGTGTCAAAGACAACCGTGTCCAAAAAGAATATATCTTTTTTTAGTGAGAAAAGGAATGAAACAGACACTCCCATGGAAATAGGTGATAGCCTGTGGACTTGTCCTAACAATGACATGTGACACAGATTTGGTCCCTTGGGCACTGCTTTTGCAGCTGTTCTGGTCCTTAAATCTACATGTGATTAGTCATGCCTGGGAGGCCCTGCCTCCCTGAACATTGCCCAGGCGCTCCTGAAGTTTATGCTGGAGCTCCAGGCCATTGACACACACTTAGAGAGGCAGGTGGTTTAATTTAAGTTTTCATCTTTCCTTTCCTTTCCATTCCATTTCTTCCCTCCCCCTTACAGACTTGCTTCAGCCCCTCGGACTGTGGGTTAAGTCATTTTATTAACAAGTCAGGCTCTAATCCCAGCAGCTGTATCATTTCAATTGTGCAATTAACAGAGGATAATCTGCAGGAAATCAACTGCTTCCCATATTTAGTGTTTCAAGTAAATTAATTGATAAAAAATGTTGCGGCTTTTCCCTGTGCACCCAGATTTTGGCCAAGGTTTTCCTTAGCAATTATTGCATAATTCCCACAGGTGAATTTTTAATTTAAAGGAAAGATCTTTTGTTTATTCATTTGTGTGTGTGTGTGTGTGTGTGTGTGTGTGTGTGTCTGTGTTCTGCAACTGTGAATTTGTAGTGAGTGTGGGTGTTTCCCACCCTTAAGGTAATTACATTTTTTGTCATTGGGTTACATCACTGAAATCTGAGAATGAAATATATATCCGGTGTTTCGTATGTTCTAGCATTGCCAGATCGGATCATTATCTTGGGCAAATAGGACTTGATTTTTTTTCTTTCCTAATTACTAAGTTGTGCATTTCTTGCATGTTACCAAGCTAGCAACTTTAGAAAGTCACTGGCAACTGATTTTTCTGTTAAGGAAGGTGTTTTGCTGCCTTGGAAAGTCCAGTGTTTTTTCCTGCTTTAGACTTTACCTCCTCACTGAGTGAGTTGCTTCTGAGGAAAGCAGTATTCAAATGTGATCTGATGAATGTCACCTTTTGTAATTTCTGTTTTGTGTCAAATGTATGTTTCAGGACTACTTCACAGACTTAATCACTAACGAGAGCATTAATTACTTCAAAATGTCTAAGAGAATGTATCCCCATAGGCCCATTATGATGGTGATCAGCCACGCTGCGCCCCACGGCCCTGAGGACTCGGCCCCACAGTTTTCAAAACTGTACCCCAATGCTTCCCAACACATGTGAGTAATACCATCGGCTCTGGGACCTGCTGAACGTGGGCCTTTCCTCTGCTCCCCGCCTTGCTTCTCACCTCACCCCATTTCCTTCTGCACGGCAGGAACACTAGCTTCTCCTGGGCCACCACAGCACGGCCCGAAACTAGGGCCTTGTCTAGGTGGTGTGATTAGGAATCACATTTCCAATATTTGTTAGTCACTAAAGGGAAAGGAAGAGAAGCACACAGGGTGAATGGGGAGATCTTTATCAAGAGTTCCCTTCAGTTGTCTTAATATGCATGAGTATCATCTAATAATAATGATGATCAAACATTTGCTTTTCATAGCAGCAAAGTGGTGACCCCGGTCTGGTTGTAGAAACATGGTCCATTTTCTGGGAGAAAACTGTGGCAGCTTCACTGCAGACACGCAGTTAGGATTGTTCCAGCAAGGCAGCTGGAGGGGCATGCCCAAGAGACCTGCCCAGGCCACAGCTTTAAAATAACCTGATTTTTTTTTTTTTTTTTTGAGAGGAGGGGGTGGGGAGGCACGGAGACTTGGGAGACGAGCTAGAGCAGAGAGAGAGCTGGATCATGCCCCTAGTTCTCACCAGCCAAGGGTGGAAAAGCCTGGGTGCTTGACAGCAAAAACAAGACTTTGTTTTTGACTCTGTTGACACGTTTTCCTCCTACCCGTTGAAATAATATGCAGTCTTCCACACAGAGCCCTGGGCCCTGGGTCTGCTGAAAGTTCAGCTCTGAGAGAGGTTGGGAACAAGAATGAATGTATCTTTCTTTATCACTAAAGCTCCCAAATTGATTCTAATCTGTTAGTGCTTAAATACCATCCCTTTTTATCCACACTGATTTTCTAGCCATGATCCCAGACAGAAATAAAATAGATTAGATGGACAGTTCACCTGCGGAGGTTCAGGGTGCTGAGCCCCATGCAGTCGAAAATCTGTGTGTAAGTTTTGACTCCCCCAAAAAACCCAACTACAGCTACCACTTGCTGCAGGGGATTGGTTCCAGGACAACAATCTTAAATACTAGATACTAAAATATGTGGATGCTCAAGACACATATTTAAAATGGGATAGAACAATGCATACAGTCTGCCTTCCATATCCAGAGATTCCCAACCATGGATTGAAAATACTGTTTTTGATCCACATGCTTGAATCCATGATACGAAGCCCAGGAATACAGAGGACCAGATCCATATCTGTTGAATAAGTGAATCGATGAAGTTCCGATCATGTTGTTCAAGGATCAACTGTACATCCTTGTGTAAAGAGAGAAGCAACTACTGGAGGCACTCTGGTTGCTGGTCATTGCACATTCCTGGAGAACATTTTTATGTTCGTGTTTTGTCTTTGACTATAATAGACTGATGGCTCCTTGTCAGTAGGACATAGATCTTCTCTATGTGTCAAGTGACTTAGAAAGAAGGAAGGAGGTTAGAGCTGACTGAGAACAGGAACTAACAAAATATATGGAACCAGGGTGGATAACCTGCTGAGCATGCCAGGAACTCATAGGACAGAAGTGGTTAAGGCATAAAACATCATCAATGAAGGAAGAAGGGTGCTCCAGCCCCTGCGGAATATGGTCTGGGGGAGCCCCTGTGTTTTGGAATTGACCCCGCGGACAGACACACAAACCTCTGAAGACCTACCCTGCATATAACCATGCAGTTAAATCTGTGAGCAAAGCCTGTGAGTAGCGAGCACCGCCCCCCCCCCCCCCGCCACCTTACAGATTACTTACAAAGTTAGTGACCTGCTGCTTCAGTGAAAGAAAACAGACTCTGTGAGCTTCTTCCTGCTCTGGACCCACATTCCCTTTTCTTTTGAGTCAGAAATCATCTTGTGCAGCTTCTTTTCTTGCATTAGCAGGTTCCTGGCCCAAGGTGGCTTTCTACAATTGCAAATTTTACCGTTTTCTCAAGTTTGAGGAGACGGGGTTGGCGAAATGGGTCTTGTGGCTCCTCAGGAGTCCCTGCCTTTGAAGCACCAGGACACGCCTACAGGAAAACCAGCCACAGTGAAGAGGCTCTGTCTGGCAGCTCAGTGTCGAGCACAGACAACAGTCGCAGGAAGAGAGGCGTCTGCAAAGTGCTCAGGGCCTCAGTGATAGCTAAGAAAGCATCTCTGATTCCAACAATTAAAAATCCTATTTAGTTCCACAAATACTTATGAGCGCCACCTGTGACACTGGAACACAGCAAGTAGACATAAGGAAGACACAGTTGGTGACATTGGAGAACTAATAGCTGGGACAGGGGTTGGCACACTCAGGCTAAATCCAGCCTGCCAATAGTTTTTGTTAATAAAACTTTATTGCAATACAGCCATGCCCATTCATTTAGTTATTGTCTGTGGCTGCTTTCACAGTACAGAAGCAGAGCTGAGTGGTTGTGGCAGGTACCATGGGGTCTGCAATGCCTGAAATATTTACTATCCGGTCCTTTGCAAAATAAGTTTGCCCCAGATCCCTGCTCTAGGGGGAAGACAGGCAAGTGTCCAGGTGTCATCACCAGTAGGACCGGAGCAGTAAGGCCTCAAACAGACATTCAGAGGGCTGTGGAAGTTTGGAGGAGGACGTGTTCACACCTTTTGGGGGAGCCAGGAAAAATTCACAGACCAGAAGACATTCAAAGTGGGCCTCAAAGGATGGATAAAATTCCTATAGTTGATTCTACAGACTGGGTTGATGATTTTAGGAAGAGAATGTGGCTTAGACAAGTGGTCACCAGGTAAGTGAGGGAAACTATGCTGTGACCTAGGAAATGGAGAATGGGATGCAGCGAAAGCAATGGGTGCTAAAGCTAGAAGGGGAAATGAGCAGAATACCAAGGACCTGAGTGCATTTGTACGTAACCATAAGCAGAGTCACTGGGAGCCATTTAATAGGGGAGTGCATAGTATCTGTCTCAGCCACTTCTACATGGAAATAGTGTCAGTTATTCTTTAATTTAAATGAACCACCTGAGAGCCTTAGGAGTGATTTTATATAAAGCGAAAACTCCACACAGCAGAGAGAAAAGCATTCAGGCCTCAGAGGCACACAAGAGTGGGCCCCCACTCAGCTGTCCTTACTAAGTCTCGGGGCAATTTCTTTAACCTCTTCCATTGTCTCAACTGTAAAATGGGGGAAATGCCAGCACCTTGACATTATGTCACGAATGAAAAGAGAAGTAGCGTGGCTAAAGTTCCCACAGAAGGCCTGCGACACAGAAATCACTTCAGTGATGTGCCTTCTTGTCAATTCATTCTGTTAAGGTGCACCATACAACACTGTTCTTTCTTGTTTTATATTTCTTGACCTACAAAAAGTGCAGTTTCATTTGGCTCAATTTAATGTTTAGGGGAAGCAGCTAGAGAAGTGGCAGGTTGACACTGGGCCCCTGTGACATGACAACTCTCTTGAAGCATAAAGACCCACAAGGTGCCGTGCCTCCCACACCTGGCCATTCTGAAAACACCGACAGGATCAGCGCCAGTATGGGCTGTGTTATCTCTTCCAGGTGCAAAATGTGCGCTACTAGCAAGCGCCAGTTTGGAAAACAACCTTAGCCATAGAAAATGAAAAGCCATTTGGTTGGTTGAGTGACTCAGCTTCTATTTGCCGCTAAGCCTTGGGCTTTGGTGCACCTAGAATGTGGAGAGCCACTGTCTCCTCACAGGCCTTAGGAGGCTTGGATTGCTGGCATCTTTGTTGTAAAAGTCGCCCGGCAGCCGCAGGAGGAAGGGGCTAGGGAGAGTCAGTGTGCGTCTCTTGTCACTGTGAGTGACGGCACAGGTTCACAGTTCAGGCCGCAGACAAAAGGAGTGAGACAAATGGAAGACAAGCTGCCATTTGTGGTTCACGGAGCTCCTGAATGGCCAGTGTCTTTGGAGAAAACATTAGCAACACATTGGAGCAAAGGGATGGAAGAAGTTAAGTACTGTGCAGAAAGATTTGGCAGGCCCAGTGAAAACAGGGCAAGAAGCTGTAGACTCGCCCCTACTGGGGGGACCCAAGTAATGTGAACGCTTCCTTTAGGCCACCTTCCTTGGTGGTCAAGCATTATCAAGATGCTTTTCATCCGGCTTTGGGTAATAGCTATGTGACCCTCTCAGCCTGGAGCAAATGTATCGTGTTTCCACGGTGTTTGCCGTTCCCAACAAAGGAAGGAAGCCAGGCTAATATTGGCTTGTTGGCTTTACAAACTGAGGCTAGAGGTTATGCCTACCAAGTAAGAATGAGAGCGGATTAGCAGCCACTCGTGACAGGAGGCACTGTTTAATCAGATGTAACTCAGCCACTCCTGGACTCTGAGGAATCTGAGGGCGCCTCCATTGTAATAACACACAGAGCCATCCTTATCACAAAGCGCTTCACCTCAGCTAAGACTCTGTTGTACTTTTCAGTAAGTTACCTCTCCCATATCCTCAGAGTAATGCTGTATCCTCCCTCCAGCTTTGACAGAACTTTCCCCTGGCCTCTCCGTTGTCATCATATGCACCTGTGACAGGGAGACTCTCCTGGTCTCCCGGATGATTCAGTGGGAAGCTCCAAAGCTCCCTTCTCACATTCCTGCCAGCGATGCCCCTATCAAAATATTTTGTTGTTGTTGTTTCAATTCAACAGTTCTTTTTCCCCACACCTGGGAATGTGAACACACAGTGACACAGGTTCAAGCGAAATCTAAAATCTCCATATAAAAATCCGTGTCCACTAACTTGCAAGAATCGTGCTGAAAGTGGAGCTTTCGGATAAACACATTATGTTAAATGGAAAACTCTCTCTGTGTAAGCCTCCAAACAAAGTTTTTGAAACACCTTTGTTATTGAAAGTTGGAAAGAAATGTTTTGCCTTAAAAAGCAGTTACACATCCTTACTTCATTTCTCCCACAAATACAGAAAGGGAAATCCTTTTGAAGATGAAAGAATTTTTAAATCTCCATAAAAATTTCTGATGAGAGAATTTGTAAAATCTCCATTAAAATTTCTGATTTGGGCAGAACTAATTGCATCCTT